GATATTACAAGAAAAAACTGGGAAATACAAAACTTACTATATAAATCACTTTTTTTCTCTTCAAGTATACCTTACTATTATATTATCTGCATTGATTCTCTACCGGAATTTAGTAAAAGACACACGTGGGAAGAGGAAATGATTTATGGGAGATATTTATGGCAGAAGAAAAAGTACTCTAGGGAAAGTCTCTAGAGACAACTTTTTATGTAAAGAAGATTGAAACTTATGACACTTAATCTTGACTGATATTTGAGTTCCAGGATACAACACTAATTTATACTAGGGTTCAACAAAAATAGAATATTTCCCTATTTCTCTTTATCTTTCTCTGTTTACTTATGTAAATTAATTAGTTTTTGTCTTATAGGTTCCACGTTTCTAACTGCCTCAGTATAAAAACAAAGAGACTAATGTAAAATAATGTTCTTGCTAAAAAATAATATTTTCCAAAGGTTACCAATCAGATTCAAACTTTTGGAGCAGGCTTAATTTGATTGATTGCTTAGGGGAAGCAATTCCAGTTTTCAGCTCAAAATGATGATGTATAAGTCCTGATCTAATTTATTTTAGTGCTTATCCCACTATGGGTATGGAATGCCACTATTTCAGCTAGCTCTGTATTGTTCTAGCATTGTCCTTTGCTGTGTCCATAGAAGGATGCAATTTGTATCCACTGGTGACCGTCTTATAGTAATCCATATTATGTGCTTATTCCCCAGGTAAAACACAATTACAATTAAAAAGGCCCAGTGAAACTAGCAGGCCCTCCATAATGTTGCAGTGTTGTGGTCCCTAGCAAATGTTAATTCACAAAACAAAATTAACAATTGGCTTCCACATCTTGTTAACTATAACTAGAGAATGTAATTGAAAAAAAATAAAATGTAAATTAACTTCTAAATTAGGTCTTTACATTCACACAGGTGATGCAAACATTTAAAAGTAATAACAAAGCATGAATACTGGAACTCATTGTGTTTGAGTTATTATTAGGAAATGATCCTGCATATACATTTTAAACAGTCTGACAAAAATGTAATGCACATAGTATATACTACATGCACAGTTAGTTTACATTTAGCAGTTTGAACAATATTGACCATGCCATTGCAGGTAAAAATGTCTCTTCTTTTTCTGTTTTAGACTGTCTTCACTGCATTTTTCATTGTAAAAAGCCAAATGACATTGAAACTACCTCTGTGCTTACACAGTCTTAGGTCATTTATAGTTCAATACTCAGTCATAGCAATAACAGTATCATATTCACAGACTGGTTAAGGAAAAATATTTAACCATTGTCTATGCAATAGTCATTCAAAGGTAAAAAAAAAATATAAAAAATGTGACATTAATAAAAAAAAGATTACATTTATATTTGCATAAGAGAACACTATAATATGTATAATATATTTTTATGTTCAAATTAAATAAAACAAAGCCTACTCAGACAACTATTGAGATGACTTTGTACAGTAAAAAATATGTTATTCTAGTTTTGTTCATCTAATTATATTATAGGGTTTATTCATTCTAGTGCATTAGTGTAATGTGTGGTATAACATGTTTTGCTGCACAATGCATTAATGCATGAACTGCCGTGTGCTGCAATTCAACAGACTTCTACAGTAGCAGGCAACTCTCCCAACACTTTTCTGTACCACAACACAGGTGCTGTACATTGTGGTATATTCTAATAAAAAAAGGGAGTCATGCCCGTCTTTTGCGTGCTAAGGCGTGTTCATTACTGTGCAATAAAGTGTTGTGTTATTACACATGCATTAATACATTTCTTGTGATTTGACTCAAAAGGTTATTTTAAAAAGAGTGTTTAATCTAACTTAATTGTTTCTTTGTAGAAAATATGTCAATTTTCAGAACCTTTGTTAAACCCACATCACATAGAAAAATAGCATTTGGGCATGAAGCACAAATTGTTCAGTGTTGTATTCCAGTTGTATGGACAAGTTTTCAATAATTTATTGTCTAACTGCAGTCTGGTCTTTAAAAAAAAATGATGCTCAAAGGTACAAATGTATCTTAGAGAGCACCATAACAATCAGGAAGATGTACAGTCATGCCATGGCTTCCTTAGGGTCTATGCCAATGGGCTTCTGCTTGCTTCAAGAAGGTTTTGCATTTCTATAAAAGTCTAGGGGAATGCAAAATATGCTTTAAAGAGACCAAAGCAGATCAGGAGTTCAACTGCAGGTCTAATGCACCTGTCAATGAACTCTGAATGATCTTGAAAGCATCAATCTGATGTCAAACTGACTCCATCAACACGAGCCCAAAGCCCATCAACGCAGACCCTTATTCACATGGAAATCTTTAAATGAGAGATTGCACTGTAGGTGTGAGTTTCACAAAGAAATTTAGGCTGTGTCCTATTAAAGGACTCTAAATAAATGCCTGTATCTTATTAGTTGTTTCTGTAGTTAATGTACTACAAGGACTATTCAGTGCTTGGGATCTCTGTGAACAGATATTGGCATTGCTGTTGCTTAATATATGTTCACATTATTTCATCTGCAGAAAAATTGCAAGGCAGATGTTAAAGGTTAGTTATCTAATTTGACTTAAGAGATGAGATAATCACAAAACTTTACAAAGTGCTAAAAGAGAAAAAAAAGTATTCAAACTAATTTTCACTTGCAAGGTGTATATAAATTAGAAGAGATTCACAGCATGACCAGAATATTTAGGCAGAGGGAAAGCCATTTTTATTAATATCTACTGAAAATCTGAATCACGGTGGTCATTTCATTCGGTCATGTCAGCTGGCAAAATTCTGTAGTGTATATGGTAGTACTTTATTGCATCAGCAGCTTGTTTGCAGATAAGGAATTAGAACCCAAAAAATATATCAACAATTGCTTATTGCTTAGTTGTTGGGATAATAAATTTGTTAGTATTTTTTCAGTACCGTGCTATCCTTAACTTTTTTCCACTAATTTTCTTTACATTCTCCTGAACAATAAATTACTGAAAATGAAAAAAAGGAGAATACATTACATTCTCAAAAAATAATATAATCATGTAGGACTTTTAAACAATTCAAACATTTGACATAAAACGGTATGAAATATCTCACCTAGCTTAGTGGCCTAAATATAAATAAAAGAATTTATTTTATACTTATTTAACTTTATACACATATAACCAGTAAAGGGCTAGTGACACAAAACATATAATGAACAGTAACTTGATAAGTAAAATATCTATGAATATGTATTTACACAAAAAAAATACATAAAACATATTTTGGACCTTGTGATATGTGCCAGTTGTGTTGTTATTATAACTCAGCAGTGTTTGTTAATAAAGTACAATTTTACTATTAGCCAATATGGCCTAAAGGCAGAGGCAGGAGTTACTACTACGTATGGGATACGCTTTGAAAACAAGGTGCAGGTTATTTAACAAGCAAATATTTTAATCCATGTTAGTTTTGCAGAGAGTCCCACAAATGCAAGTGTAACATATTCTCTTTTCATGACATAAAAAACCCCACAAAGTATAAAAAGAAAAGTGTAAAAATAAAAAAAGCTTTTGTTTTTAGCAGATTTAGAAGCAAAGCAACAGGCTGACAAAAGTTATTAACAGAAAACGCAGATGTTCTTTCAAAAGCTCAGGCATTCAAAACTTTTTATTCACACCCTTACATCAAGTTTGTTCTGGTAATGTTTGCGAAAACCTTAAAACCAGAGAGTGTTGACTGCATATGTTTTTTTTTCAATTAGAAAGCCATTTTCTTAATTTTTTAGAGGGGTAAAATGGCTGTGTTGAAATGGCTTCTGTAAATGAGATCAGGAAGGAAATCTCCAGTGTTTAGAAGGCATTAAGAGATGTAAACTGAACAGCATCATTCCTCAAGAAATCACAGTGAAAATGGTAACTATGAAATCTATCTCATGAAACTTTTTTGTTGTATGAACAGAAATAGAAATAAAACTATATACAAAACAAATGGACACATTGATTTCTTCTTTCCAGTAATTGTAATACATTGTTTTTTTACATTGCATATGGAAGACCATGTTTTAAGCTGTCCCAAAAAAATAGGTAGTTTAAAAGGTAGAATCATGCTTAACCTATAACATAGGAAAACTGGACGGGAAGAAAAAAAGGACCGTTCTGATTGTAAAAGGTGCAATATTTCCAACATGGATCCAAAACTACTGAAACTACTAACAGTCACTGAGTCTTATTCAATCACTGTGCCATGCACATTCCTACCAGGTGCTCATGCAGTTTATCAGCCTGTAAAATGCAAACGTGCTTTTCAAATAAATACATTTTCTTTATATCAAACTAGGATGCCCACTTATCTTGCTAACCAGAAATTAAATTACTTCACCTTTCATATTCCTCCTATAAAAAAAATAAAAAAAATATAACATCTAAATAATTCCCTTCATCAAAAGGGTATTGACTATTCTAAGTAACAAATTTGTTAGCTCATAAATAATCTATAGTGTTCATGTGTCTTATGTAAACCCTGTATAACATACAATAACAATACACTTTCAAAACAATCAAAATAAAATGGTCAAAAATGATTGCACCTTTATTTTATTTTTTTATTTCCTTCTTAAACTTTCTTTCTGGATATATTTTATGTGAGATTTCTGTCTTAAAGCAATCCAGTCATTAATAGAAGCTTTGTCATTTAACCTTACGGTGTGATAGGAAGTACCAATAGATAATGTTGTGTACTGTCAACTTCCTAAAGTGACTCTGGACCCACATAATCACTTCTAATCAGAAAGTAGCCCGTAAAAAAAGAGTAAATCAACTTACCGTTCCGGTGGCTCATGTGTTGAAACATTGTTGCATCGCTGCTCCTCATTCGCTACATGTATTCCACACTTGAGGGAGTGTAGAATTTTTTTTCTTCTCTCACACTGTGGTTCCTCCTGCTAGATCATTCATCTAAAGGATGTGCATGCCATCAGGAGGAACCACTGTGTGTGGCTGTTATTTGACCCATCTCAAACACTTGCAACAGTGAAGTGGCGCTTTTCAAAACACTTGCCACGGAAAATGTACATATATTCACTCATTTTTACAGGCTGTCCTCTGTTAAAGTGACCCTGTGGTGAAAGGGTTACTTTAACACCCCAAAACCAGGAAAATGAAGAGTATTCAAATATTGACTTCCCTGTGGTGTAAGGGAGCATCCCCAAAGCATCCACAATGCAATACTGAAAGTTTGTACTTGCATAATGCATGCCCTTTAGGGTTTTCAGGTTCCTCGGGCATGCTAGGGCCACAATTTCTATGTGTTATTCTATGGCCTTCTGTCACTCTGCAAGGTTAGCTTACAAAGTTTATTCTAAGCTTGCAAGGTCTGGAAAGTTTTACACTGCGGGGAGAAGGGTTGACTTGCGATTATTAAGGATCCAGCATTATAACTATACCACTTGAGTTTATGATGGATTCACTTTTCTAATTAATAATTATGTATGTCACAGTAGCATTCGCATTTCTAAAAAAGTGTTAAACATTGTGTATTTGCAGTCTCTGTGTCCTGCTTTGATTAATAGTAGCATGCTGTTCAATCTACTATTAGATCAGTGTCTTGTAAAGCAAAGCTTTGGCTGGCAAAGAGCAGACATAAATTGGTTTGTATGCCGATAGCAATAGAATTTCTCTCACAAAAGTAAAGTTTTTTTTATGAGTACTGCATTACAGGGACAGTTAGGCAGGAATCTACAGTACCACAAACAAACAGTTGATTGCTTGCAAATCATACATTCAGTCGACACCATTAATGCAATGCACAAAAAGCCAAGAAAAAATAAAGGCTAAAGCAGTCTGCAAAAATACTGTGGGACAGCAATCACTGGGACATACAAAAACTGTTGTCAACATAACATAAAGGCACCATTGATGTCTTTCTTATTTTGAAATACTGTAAAAAAATTGCTACATATGGCACATAACACATTTTTACATATACTTAATTTATAAAATGTTTCCTGTTTTCTACTTGCGGAACTGTCAAAATAAAATAAATTGTTTAATTTAAGGTGGAATACTTCATATATAAAATAAAGTTTTACAGGTGAATCTATGTTTTATTTGTTTTATACAGCAATAGGGTCTTGGTTAGCTATTACACTGGACAGCCTTGCTTGTAACTCCTCTTGCGTTGAGAATCGGCTAGTTGGGTTAGTCCTACTTTCTGCAAGTCGGTATGCACTGGCTGACTCTAGGCTGGTCGCCAGGGGGTTTTGTATACTCAGGAAAGGTGTATCCTCGCCTATTCTTTCATCTTCTGTCTCACTCTCAGATGTACTGCTCTCAGAGCTAGTGTCAGTGTCCAGTTCTAATCTATTGGAAATGTGGCCATTGGGTTTTGTTCTTTTTGCCCTCCGGCTGTTGACTAGTTTCTTAACAGGCTCCATGGCCGGCTCATACTCTTGTGTGGTTTCATATTCCTCATCCTCCACTATTCTTAAAGGACTTGGCGGCAGGCTGCTGCTGTCATGGGCAGGGTTGTGATGGTAGGAATTGTACTGCTGGTTATAGTGGTGATGGTGGTAATATAAGTCATATCTCTTGTCCCGTAACCTTGGAGGCGACACCAGAAGCAATGGTCTTTCTTCTTCAATAAATGGACTGACAGCCACAGAGGGAACTGATACAGCTAAGCTAGATATTGGTGGAGACATCTCCATTGAAGGTGATTTCGGAGATATTGGAGTCTGGAAGTCCACTGGTGACATGCGAGCTGGAGTGGTCATTGCTGAAACATATCTAAGCCATAAAATAAATAAAATAAGATACTGTATCATGAACTTAAATCTACATTTGGTATAAATACATCATTTTCAATTAGTAATATTGAATGTACTATTGATTATTTTATTTCCTATATCCGGGACCCTAAGTCACTCATGAAACACACATGTTGTTTATACAGATAAGTTGCTTCATAATATTTGCATGGTTAAGACCAGTAATGAAGCCATAGAGGGGGAAGCCACTACCAGACATAAGGCTAAGTGATAGGAGACCTGCCAACACTTAGCAGAAAGACATTATTGTGTTGTGGCTATAATAACATTACCTAAATCCAGGACCTTGTAAAAAAATGGATTTAAAAGGGTAAATTAACTACCTTCAGAATGAAACTGTACAGTAATTCAGGGACACTGCTGACTCAGTGATGTTGATTTAGTAAATAGTAGCAACTGTTTAGCAGAATGAATGTTCACTTTACAAAGTTAATTCTCACTGTGCTTAGTAAATAAGTTAAAGCTGTGTTCACTTTGAATACTCAGTCATATGCAATGGACAGTGTCGAATGCTGAACAGTCTTGTGGAGCTGTGGTGCTGTTGTGTAGAAAGGTAGGAGATACGAGACACTTGAAAGGTAAGTATAATGTATCTTTTACAGCAGGGAACTTTCAGCTGGATTATTTTAGTGCCTGACTGCGTGACTCTAATGATATGCAAAAGAAATTGAGAAACTGAAATGTATGTAACATGGCTATGCCACCATGCGTCCTTCCTTACAATTAATACATACTACAAAAAGTGTGCCCATCTCTTGGACAGGCTCAATACAGAAGCATCCATTGGTGCAGTGGCAGCAAGTGTAGGGGGTACAGGCATGGTGGTGAAATGAGGTGTGCAGGAGGTGCAAACATGGTGGCGTGATTATGGAGCTGATTTACGAAGGACTTGCGAACGTTCACACAATAAATTGTAATAGTATGTAAACAGGAATTTTCTTTTCATATGATTGGATAATTTAAGTGAATCTTCACAAACTTTATAGTGTGAACATTCTCAGATTCTTAAGTAAAAGAGCCCCGGGGGGTCAAGAGCATTTGCGACACATTATTACATAACAAATGTAGCAGCCAGGAGTAAAGCTGGCCATATGCTGTTAGGTATCGTTCATTTAGCCTACCGGCAGGTGTGCCACTGTCAGAGTGCCCAAACAGCGACTGCAACTGATTGACTGCAGTCACTTCAATTTTCACTCCAGGTCCTTTGATTTTCTGATTAAAGGATGTCGCACGGGAGGCTGCTTACAGAGCAGCAATTTTCAGCTGGTTCATCAAGAACTGTGTAAAATCTGCTCAGTGCATGGCCAGCCTAAGTGTTCCCTTGCATGGGTGGTCAGTGGTATGTACTTTCTTAATGGTAGGTGGTCAGTTGTGAGTGCAGTCTTAAAGGTTAGTGGTAAGTGCCTCCTAAAACATTGCACGTTAGAGTACCCTAAAGTGTTGGTGGCCAGTGGTGAGTGCCCCATAAAGGTGGTGGGCAGTGCTCAATGGCTGGCTAAAATAGTGGTGGTCAGTGCCCTATATAACACTGGTGTTTAGTGGCCCTGTAGCATTGGTGGTCAGTGGTCACAGGCCCCTCCATCAAAGCCGTTAATACATATTTGCAAGATAGTAGAACTAGTGTCATAGTTTTTCAAATGTTTTGCATGAAATAAGCTTTTATTCCTGTATCGAAGCCTCTTAACTCCAAAGAGATTTGACTTACCTTTCACTGTGTGGTGAATCTCTATATGAATCTGGTGTGTCTCTAGCATGCCTAAGATAGCTGCAGTCTCTATGACCTCCAATACCATTCAGTCGCCCCCTTGGTCCTGTAGGACTTGCATGTCTACTATTTTCTACTGAAGATGTCACAATCACAGAATGACTTTCTGAAATAATGCTTTCTGACTGGCCATTACTCCAACTATGAATAAAATAAATACAAATGTTAGAAAAGTACCTTTCAATTATATACTGCATTTTCCATACAGTCATTTCCACATGTTAGCTACTTCGTGATCAGAGAATTTTCTCATTTTTGGCCAGGTTCACACTGTTGCATTGCATAACATGCTAAGTACATTAGTGTGCCTAAACCATGAAATCCACTCCAACACATCTTTCAGATGGAACTGTGTTGCAGGCACTGCAACGTACAGTAACACTCTGCTGTGCATTGCGGTGCACTGAGTTGCTAAAAATGGTGCACGCACCTTGTTCTGTGTGTTTCCATGCACTAGGCAGCACATTCATATAAATGGGCTGACCTAAGACATATGCCATAACATGCATGTGTTAACACACTGCACAAATGTACATGAGGCTCTTAATCACAAAACATGTTATATCTTACTTTGTAGCAGATTTGCATGAAAGCAGTTTAATAGATTTAAAAGAGAACTTTGGGGTAAGTGTTTTTCCCCATAGTTCTCTTTAGGGTCTTGGGAGGACATATACTAACCTCCTACCATGACCCAAAGCTCAGTAAGCCTGCGATATACTGAGAGCACCACAGCCGAGACGGATCCCGACAATACTGTAGAGATCCACCCAGCTGTGTGAGTGGCAGTGAGCTCTGCCTATCTAGGAGCAAAGCTATCTGTGCCCTCCCCCGTTCGTTCCTCCACTCAGCGCTGGAGGATCGGAGAGGGGAGGGGGAATCTCACCGCTCACTGCAGGTAGACGATCGGGAAGCTGACGGATCGCTGCATGTTTCTGCCCACTTCCCAATCTATAGAGCCGACCTGTGACAGCTTCTTTGTCACAGGTCGGCTCTAACTATCACTCACCTCATAGTTCTCCTTTAAGAAACATAAAAAGGATAGGAATGAGAGTTGGCAAATCATGAAAACACCTTTAAAGTACTAGCTAATAATTTATATATATCTTCATTCTCACATACATTACACTTTCCCAGTATATCGCTTTGATTCATAGGGTTTGATTCACTCAAGAAGTAGAGACTGTTACCTTCACCTATGAAGGGGAAACAACTGTATTTTTGCCTGTACATGATTGTACAAGCTTAGTGCTACTTGAGTCCCAGAGCATATTTTGTTATTTTGGTGATGTCTTGCTTCTGCACATTATACTATTTAGAAATTGTAGTCTACTCAAGTGTATTATAACACTGCTTTTTCGCAACAGATGAGGCTTTACTTTGGTAGCAAATTTGGATGCATATATTTTAATATTTTGGGGTTTTAACTGGACATAAATAGTAAACAATTTGGAAAACAAAATGTTTCCTATCACTTTTCCCAATGCAAAATTTGCCAAATTTGCACCGCCCATATGTTTACACCTAAAATATATTAACATCTGTGGATTAAAATGATATCACAATTGTGCAACTTTTCTGTAATGTAGCATACTGGTAAAGGTCAAAGTGAACGTATGCATTTTACTTTAAGAGAGTGTTATTACTTTTCTGAGGGTACAATGTGACACTTTTTCAGCCAGCAACAGAATACGATAACTGTGATCTATTGTTGCAAGACACTGGACAGTGCTGCAATAGCTCTGTCCCAATCTCTGCTGCAACTTCACTCGTAAACAATGCAGAAGAATTTTGTTTACATTGATTGGATACAAGAACTGTGTAAGAAAATCAGAAACCCAGAAGCTGATCTTTTCAGCTCCTTGGCTTAGTGTTGAATGTTGGCTCTCACTGATACCAAGCGCTGGCTAGGACCTGCAAGAGCCACTGATCCCTGGTGCAGTTTTAAAACAGCCACTGTGCCAGTACTGTTTACCTGGGACTGGTACCTGGGACTCAAGTGGTTAGGAGAACAGTCTCTATTCCTTTAGTAAATGGACCACATAAACTAGCAAATATTTTTCAGTGCAAAAGCTACACATTAGATAAATAAGTGTGGTGTAATCCGCTTGAACTTGCTTTGCATAATTAGAAGTCTAATTTCTATATGGTATTTTAAGAAATGTGTTCATGGATCATAAACAGAAATCACACAAACCTGTGGCTTGGTGTTTGCGTAACTGTCGTTGAATGATGTGTTGTTGACGTATAATGACTTGTAGAAAACGATGTTTCTGTTTCCCGTTCTATTACATGTTCACTGGATATAACATTTTTGGAGACATATTGCTGTATAAAATAAATACAAACACAAAATGCATTAATTAGCTTTACTTAATTTACACATTGCATTCTATTTTTTTTTTTTAAATAAGTTGTTTTTAAAATATTTTGTTTGTCAAATACATGTGTTTGAATATGAAACTACTGATATACAAAGAAAAACACTTTTCCCTAATGCAATTTTTATATTAAAGACTATCGGTAATTTAACATTGTTGTACACAAAATTGTATGTCAATTGTATACTGCCTATTACAAGTGGCTTAAATGAAAACTCCACTTTGGTTAAAAGAATAATATGGCATATAAAATTGCTACACAATTCATTTTTAATTTACTGTTAATAAATTAATTTAATTCCCATTTTAATCTGAAGCTGCTGTAATTTTCTAAAACTGTTCAAAAATATCAATGCAATATGGCAACCTGGAGGCATACAGAATTTGCAACAACATTTGTTAAAATCTTCACAACATACATACATAGATCACCCCGAGGTAACAATTTTTTTCTCAACAAAAATGTCTCTGGTGGTCAAAAATATATTTTATTTTCTCTAAGATTCTATTTTCCCAGTTGGACAGTCAAAAGCCCAACACTGGATCACTTTGTGTATTTTCAGTGTGCACACTGATTTTTAATTTATTTTGGTAGAATTATCTATAACTAATGGAAATTACTTCAGTGATATCAGGCCAATTGCAGACCTTTTTTGGCATATATATTCTAAAATTATTACTAGCTTTCCAACAGGATTCAGGGATGAACTTTTCATTTTAGATTTTCAGGGTTATTCACTAAAGGGTGAAGAGTTTGGAGAAGGCAGGAGAAGTAAACAATCTAGGATAATATAGCTGAACTGGAAAATTAGCTGAATTGGAGATTTTTTCCAAATCAGCTATGTTGTCCTAGATTGTTCACTTCTCCTGCCTTCTCCAAACTCTTCACCCTTCACTGAATAACCCTGTTAGTATTTCCTTTTAAATATATTACTAGTCACTTCAAAAGATTAAAATGACATTAAAGTCAATTTGTTTCCATCCCCCCAATGTTAATGAAAGCACTTACCTTAAAAGCACTTGTCCTTGCTGGCAGTTCCTGTCCCACGGTGTCTGCATGCGGTTGCACGCGTCCATAGACTTACCTTGTGTCTCTCCTCGCGTCCCGGCCGAAAATGTGAACTACGCATGCGCCCGCCCCAAGATGCTTTGCGGCCGCCCGAGGATCTTCACATTTTCTGACGGGAGCGCACAGGGAAGACACCGGTGAGTATTAACCTGTTAAAATGTTTTGTTTTTTTAACTTTTTTTGCATAGATCTACTGCTCGCTAGCAGTAGATCTATGCAAAAAAAACTGGAGGCTTTAATTATCCTTTAATAAATTAATGTATATCTTATGCAGAGATTACAATCTTTCACAACAACACTACCATGTTTTGTCTTTCTTTTGTTCCACCACCTTATGTGCCACAGTGATAAATATTACAGTTGCTTTAGTTAAACCTACATTTACCAGCTGGACATTTTCTGGTGGCGGATTTGGATGATGCGGACCATTTGCCATGTTCACCATATTGTTCCGTTCTGATCGAAGACTTTGCCTAAGACGATCATGTAACTTTTTTCTCTGTTTCCTAAATGTGAGTTTAAGATTAACAGTTTAGTATTTTAGAACTACAAGACTGTAAACAAGGCCACTGTCTTATTTGCTAAATATATATAATGGTATAGCAGGCAGGGAAGAGCTAATCGATGACAAGTGTTTGTTTATAATATTTTTAACATTTCTTTGAAGGAAGATTAAAGTCCCATTAGAGAGCAATCTAGAAATTGAACATGATAATGAAAAGTTGCAAATGATCTAATATGCAGTAAAATTTCTTAGGATGTTTGGGTTTTTTAAATTTGTAATAGGACATTCGATTTTAACATGGTAAACAACGATTTGTAAATCTGGTTTTTAACATTAAATATAGAATTATTGCATAACATTGCTCTCATTCACTCTACTGTATTATCTTGATATAGTTTTTAATAAAAATAGCCAACTATAGATGCCCTGATTTTTCCAAAATTTTACAGCAGAAGCAAGATATTGACATTGTAAGTAACTGACTTACCTACAAAGCTTAATATTTGATATGAAAAGATCTTGTTCAGTGAAGTTAGGCATTTAAAAAAACAGGCTTGCTTTACTAAAGATGTAGAGAATGTTCACTTTACTTAGCTTAGTGAATAAAATTACACTATTTTTACTTTAATTACCCAATTATGTGATTAGAAACTAAAAACAAACAGGATTTTTTCTTATACACAACTGAAAGACTGACCTGAATGCAGCGTAACTTTATTCAAAAGCTAAGTAAGAACATTTGCTTTGCAAAGTGAAAATCCTCTCCGGTTTTAGTAGAGTTCAAATACATTATATATGATTATATAGACAAGATGATTGTGGAATATTTGAACAAAGATGTTAAATCATATAAATTAAATATCAATATTAGATGAAGGTTTACTTTGTTTTGCAGTAGGCGACAACACACATGATGCCAACTACAAGCAGGGCAATGCAGATGCCGGTAATGGTCAGCACTCTTTTCTGGTACAACTCTTCAGCTTCTAGAAAGGTAAAAATAAAAAGACCACTCAAACGCTAAGTTCAACAAACACTAAAAGTCCCAAAATAATTCTGCTATAGTGTCCCCATAAAATGATAATTTAAATAAGTAATAATGATTAAATAATATAAATATTAGTTAAATATTTTTTAATGTCACAAAATTAAATTTACAATAAAAATTTAATGCAGCCTTAGAAGTCAAGAAACCAAAAATGCTGAGATGTATATCTACATAAATGCAGCATACATATACCTAAATTTAAATAGGTATAGTAATTATTTGTTACATTTTACTCCTAAAAGTGGTGCATGTGACATGACATTTCTGACGTAGATCATGTGAAGGCAACTCATACAACTATATAAAGAATCGGATTAAATAAACATATAGTTTAATTTTAATTAAAAAAACCTAAGATCATTTGCAATAGTATATTTTAAATATCTTATTTGTCGTAACTTGGAACATTTCATAATTAAAATATTAATAAAATATTACCAAATTTGTTTAAGTACACAATGAATACAATGTAGTTGTTTGCTTATATTAACATTTTAACTGTAAGATTACAACTTACATTGTTAATTTTATACTTAACAAAATATTGTCATTATGGATTTGGTATGTATATTATCATTATTCAATAAGTTTGTTGCCTTCACCATACACACTCAGAAAAAAGACATATATACATTTGAATTTGGCTTGCAAAAAGGGAAAGAAAAAAACAGAACCAACAGAAGTGAAAGTTTTATATCTACAGTACTTATATTTCAGTTATAAAGTGCACTGTATCTTAAATAAATGAATACAATCAATAAGATTTAGAAAGTAATGTTACAAAAGGAGTGTACCATCAACCTGTGATTAGTTCAAATATATAATCATGTTAAAAAATGATTTTGTTTGAGATGCATTTAAGGTGAACACAGGTTGTTCTACGCATTCCTTTAGTAAATCACTAGTAAATTACCTACTAAATGTTTGTTTCAGCCTGAGTAAATATGTGGCACAATCTAAGTGACTGTATGTAAGCTTAAATGTTAATGCTGGTTTTTTTAGTGGTTTTGTTAAGTGAAAACCTGTCATGGCAAATACATCATTGAAGTGCAAACATAAAAAGGTTCCAGTTAGGCCTTAGTTTAGTTCTTTAGTGCAGGAGCCCTTGTTTTTTAATTCCACACCTTCAGCAGCAACTACTGCTGTCAGTCTACAAATTCCAATATACAGCCCATGAAGGTTCCTTCCTGCATCCCACAAAACAATGCTGATACTTCAGTTACCAATTTATAGGCACTGTAATGGCACCACAAGATGTGGAAAACACGCCTAGGCTCAACCTTTTAAGTCAGCCAAGTCAATATCTGTATACTGATAGCAGGAACTGATTGTGCTGCATGTGTGTGGACATTTGTTATGATAAGTTTGCATCATGTAGAGAACAAGTAATGGAACCACTAGCCAGTCAATTGCAAGGGACTTTTAATGCAGCAAGCATAACTGCAAACAAGTATTTAATATGCATGTGCTGCTGGTACGCTTTCCATGCTTGGGAATATACCTTATCCCCACCAGTCTTTTTGGAAGACTGCGGG